AGACTGGGCAAGTCTTCTATGGCCAGGGCTGATGGGACATGAGGCAGGGCTAGCCAAAAGGCTGGAACAGCACATTTTCCTGGTGGCAAACTAACATGCTCAGCTCTGGTGTGCAAATTGATGTGCAGCTCTACCTACTCTGCAAGTGTGTGGTTTTCAGACAATTTACATCCAATGTCCAGGCAGAGGACTGCAGACAGATGTAGTTTAGCTTTATCTGCATTTCCTCAGACAAGTGTACCACTTTCTCATTTATTTTTTCTTTTTCACATTATGTTTTCAGGAGTTTTTTGAGCAGTTAACTGAATATCTAATTATTAGGCAACTGTAAAACCACTGAAAAGGAAACAGTGAAGGATCTAGTAATAGTGTGAATGCAGGCATAGATGCCCCTGTTGGAAAGATGTGCTTCAGTTTCAGCCTTTGTGAATGACAATTTAATTGCTGTGTCTCTGCATTTGTGCTCCATTCACTACGAAGGAAATAAGTGGGAATTGAAGCACAAGAATAGATGCACTGGTCATCACTGAACTGTACTGAAATGCTGTGTACAAGCTGATGATTTTATAATGGGCCCATCTGCCCACCTCAAAAAACCACTACAGAGATTGACAAGATTGGCAGCACCTGTTTTTCTAGTTCCATCTTCAGAATAGCAAAAGGTGTTGAGTTTTGGAGTTTAGATGCACAGATCTTTCTAATTTAGTTTCTTCTTGTGCTCTGTGGATAAGTCTTAAATAGTTTTCTCTTGCCTTTTTTCCTAGTCCCTCACTGAGATGTACTTTTTTCCCCTCTACTACTGAAAGCTGGCTTTGCATTTGTTATGGTTTCTCTGTATATATAAGGCTCTCCTTATACTTTATCCACTTAGCAGAATTAGAACATTTAACAGACATATTCATGAACCTCTCTTCTTTTTTTTCTAGAAGTTCTAGTGGTTTTGACACTGCATCTTTCAAAAGATGTTTAACAGACATATTCATGAACCTCTCTTTTTTTTCTAGAAGTTCTAGTGGTTTTGACACTGCATCTTTCAAAAGATGTTAAGTATTCATCATGAAGTCTCTCTGCACACAAGTTCTCTTGCAGTGTAGTGATAAAGTGGTCTAAGATTTCCACTCGTGCTGTAGATAATGTACATCTTGGGAGCTTCTGTTGCTGTGTAAACATTTTGCACTTTCAAAAAAAGGTAAGTCATTCCTCAATATATGAGTCTTTTCTGTAAGATAAGCGTGACCAGTTCTCCTCATGGGATGTGATTGTTCAGTTGCCCCACAGCTACTTATTTTAGCCTTAATTCCCAACCAGTCCTAATGTTCTTTGGCAATTTCACCTACCTATCATAAGCAACTTCTTCTGCTCCCTGCATCTACATGTCTAGGCTTGAAATAATTCTTGCTTTGCCACCAGCAGGTTCCTTCATTGGAAAACCAAAAGTGCAGGGAGTTTTCTCAGATTGAATTAAACTCTGTACCTGCCTTTCAGCAATAATGTGTTCTCTTAAAAGTTTTTCAATGCCATCATTTCTGTTTCTGTGTAAGCAGATTTCTGATGTCTGTATGTTTATACACCTGACTGGCCCATCAGACTCTGTTAAGTTTGGTTTACATAGTGCTGCTTTGTTCATGGCTCTGTAATACCACCTTATCCCTTATCTAGAAAAGGCTTTTTTATTCCAGTTGCTTTCTTTCTGCCTTGGGAACAAGATTTTCTCTGAAAATTTTGTCTTTTTTCCTATCCTCATTTATATTCTCCAAATAAAGAGAAAGCAAGCAAAGCAAATACACACTGAATCTCCAAAGCATTGCAAATTGATCTTGTGTTGTCAGGGAATAGCTATGATTTAAGTTAAATGACAGGCAGGCAGAAGTCCTGCCTCAGCTTTGTTATTCTTAAGAACTCCTGGGAGGACCTTCCGTGTTCAGACATTCCATTTTAACATTTCCACTTTCCTACAACTTCCTAGGATCAGTCCTCTGCCGCTGCCTGGTGAAAGATGCCTCTTACAGAGGATTACCAACTCCCAGGCTGGTCCTGGCATTGAAGTGGAATGCACCCTGCTGCTTTACAGGTACCACAGAGGATTGTATTGGTGTGGTGGGCTTTGCCAGAGCACTCCAGTGTCATCCTCTCAAAGCTTGCTATGCCACACACATATAAAACCAAAGTGAAATGTACATTTGCAATGTCAAAATTGAGTAACAGGTCACAGCCTTATAAAAATGTAGCCAATGGGAACTCAGGAAATTCAAGACTGGTTCTATCCTTGTATCAAATCCAGAAAAGCCTGTGAAACACGTCTGTTGGCAAGGTATAAAAGTGGATCTACTGTGTGTGGGCAAGGACTTGAATATGATCTACACAGCATGTCCTCAAAGTCCTGGCTGGTAGAAAACCCCTGGCCCTGATGTGCCAGGGTCTCCGTCTGTTTCCATTCAGAATCAAAGGCTTTGCCATCCAGCTCATCTATTTCCTAATCCCTCCCAGCGTATCACTGGCTTCCACCCACTATGAAAATTATGTTGTTCCTCAGCAGAGACAGGTACAATTATTCCCTTCTTTGATCATAAACAGAATCAGATAATGGCTGCCTTGGTGCTTAAATTAGACATCTAAATTTAGTGCCTCTAAAAGCAGGAAAATCTTTTCCACAAGGCTTAGTGGTATTTTTTCTCTTATGGATGACATAGTTCATGCAAGTGTCATTTGCATAATTACATAACCATGAAATTTGTATGTGCTACATACCATTTTGCACTTGTTTCAGACCATGTTAACAACTAAACTTCCCTGAGGGGATATGGGGTTAAGGGGTGACATTCCCTTGAACTCTGTCCTTGGGAGCACTAATCATTATCTGGCTGCATGGAAACTAGCTGTAACTCCTGTTATTTATTATCCTCAAGAAAAATAAATAAAATCACCAAATGATATAGATAAGTCTACGGTCATAGAAGCAGAGCTTATGCTTGACTTAAAATGTCCTGTACAACTTTTATGGTTTGATTTCAAATTTAAATTTAAAATATTTTTACAAATCTAGGTACTCAACATTGAAGTTAATGCCATTATCTGTTGTAGAGGTTTTGGATTACTGAGACTGACTGTCCTTGAGAAGCACTTCAGTAAGAGTGCATAACTTAACTACATATGGAAATCCCTAATTGCCAAATGCGTGGACAAATACATTTAGCTTTTGTGAAGAGCATGCACAGGGAGGTGATGTTGCTGAATTGATAAACAGCAGCAAGCCCAAGTCATGAAAGGGGATTTCCACTCTTGTATCACCAATGCTGTGGTCCCTAAGCCAGTGACCTTACAACGTAAAATAAAGACAAAAGGGAGTTATTTGTTTCTGGGGGTTTTCATGCAAGCCAGTGAATATGATATGATAAGTAATGTTATTCTAATGACATACACCAGCCTGGTTTGAAATGTCTTTGGTGTTTTTGTAGGATAATATTAGGTTAATTGCTATTTGGGAAAGATCACATTAAATTTCTCTGTGGTTTAGTAGTTAAATAATTTATGATCTCACTTGTACATCAGGGGCTCAAAAGCACTTGCCTGGGAAACCCACTGTACACTGGGGCTGGGATTTTTTTCCTTATGAGGAATGGAAAGGAATTTTCAGTGCTTACTGTAAGTCTCTGCAGGCTGCACCTACACATGCAAGAAGTTCAGTGTCATAGGAAGAGATCCAGCCAGTGTTGAGAACAATTTTTTTCCCATTTTAGATGAGTTTTACTTCAAACTAGCTCTGCTCTGGTCCAAAGGACAAAATAGTCATAGCAGCTGGAGGACAGTAAATGTGTTCCTCAATCCCATCCTCTAGTTTGATTTAATTTGAAAAGAATCTGGTTAATTGTAAAAGTATCCTCTGAGGCTTTTCCATCATATGAATCAAAGCATTCTAAGTGGCAGCAACTGCACAATCTGCCTTCAAAAGCACGTTCATGATCTGAACTAAAGCACAAACGTAGGCATACTCTGTACTAAAATAAACACAGCTGCACTAAAAGGATTCATTTTATGTCAGAGTCCTATAATTTGGGATTTGGCAATAAAGTCCTTAGTAAGCCTGAAATATGGCAACTTGCCCCATAGGCACTTCAATATAAATGTCTGGATTTGTTATTTTATTTCTTTTAATATTTTGCAGATTGCAGAAAAAAATAAACTTAGAACATCCTGATCTAATTTACTAATTGCATGAAAAATCAGTGGTAATAAACTATGTAATTGTACAGGGAAATGGTGATTTCTGTCCAAGCATATTTTGCACCCTTAACTGCTTTTTCTGTGATATTACCACTCAGATTCTGCTGAAGTTTTATAGCTTGCTGTAGGTTTACTGAACTGCCTGTTACTGAACACTAAGAATATTTGCACATATGCAACATTTAAGGAAATATAAATTCATTTCTGCTGACTCTTTTTTCAAAAAGCAAATCTAATTCAGCTTGCTGTTCGACGTCAGTGTGGCAATTTAATATCTTTTTTGTTTAATGTAACCATATTACTATAAAAAAGGAAGTAATTGAACAATGACAGATTTTTTTTCCTAATCTTTCATCACAATTTCTACAAATCAGTGTAAAAGTAGGGGGATAAAAATTATCACTAGCTGGAAATTACCTTGATTGAAATGTGAGGCTCACCTAGAGGTGCTGGAACTAGAGCAGTGAAATAGAGTTCCAACAAAAAGTTACAGATTAGAGATGCAATGGTCTGGGACCACCAGCATGGTGAATGGCCTTACTTTCGTGTACATAGATAAAAAGGTCATTGAGTTCCTGAACTCACAGAGATAAAAACAATTAGATTCTGCCTCATCAGGTCTCAAGAGAAAAACAAACACTTTGAAACTACTCTCCTTAGGATATAACATTATAGCTGAATTTCCTATCACAAGAAAATTTACCCTTTCATTTGCAGAAATAGGAAGGAAGAAACAGCTAACCAATTAAGAAACTAATGGTCTTGCGCTAATTACTTACCAAAGTTTGTTGGCATACAGGAGCCACAAGTTCAAGCTGCCCTTCTTGTCATGGAGACCAACTGTAAGCATGGCAGTTTTCCTGGGGCATTTCACTCTTCTGGCCTGGGTTGGTTGGTCCATCTCATTTCAGCGAATAATTTAAATTCTTGTTTTGAAGAAGGGATGTTTGTCTAGTCCCCAAACTCCCCTGAATCTTAGAAACCATGTCTAAAGCTGGCCTGTTTCTAAGAATGGCAGTGTTTGTGGAGCAAGATGTTCCTGTGAGAACACTTTTTGCCAAGTCAACTGTAGTTGGGTTTTTATCTTTCACCTCTGAGATACCTTATTGCAATCTGTCTGATGACTTGCACAGACTTTCCCATATAAGATCTGACTGCTCAGTAGCAATGGTTTCAGGTCACCGTTTACTTAAATGAGCATACAGTTTCTGAGATACAGCCAGAAACCTGCTTTAATGAAGAATTTACCACTGTGCAGTCAATAAGCAAGCTGAGTACTTTACCCCTGGAACACAGGGTTACCTGATGTTTTATCAGAAGAGACACGTGTGATGATGTGAGATTTTTTCAAAGCAGCTGATTCTCTCAGCTTGAAACTCTGTGTCAGAAACCAGTGAATAATCCCTCCCTACAAAGTTTTTTTCCTTTGTTCCTAGCATTTCACCATGACCCCATGGATTCCCATGTCTCAGTTTGCATATGGTCGGTCTGCAACATCACTTGAGTGTATTACATCCCTAATGCTGATGCACACTGAATTTGTCAAAATACTGTGGCTAGACAAGCTTAAAATCAGAACAGGAAAGGAAAGAGAAAAGCTCTTGATTACGGAGATGGAGCTGCTTCTATGAAAGCATCAAATTAAGCATGGTAAACTTGTGTCCAAAACTCATCTCTTCCCAAGGCAGTTCAGGAAAAGCTGCCTTGGTAGCTGCAGCTGAGGATTAGCCCAGTGGGCTCTCCCAAGGCAGAGTCCTGTGGAACACCACAGATGCCCCTCCTCTGGATCGCCTCATAGGATTGCTCATCGCATCCCTCCCCTGCTTACAAATGAATCTTCAAAGCTGGGAAAGTCTGCTTTCCCTCCTCCAGCTAATCAACTTAGAAAAGCTTACTGTAGCACACTTTGCTGTTTGTGCAAATGCAAATGAAGCCTTGTTGGAGTTTGTCTGTGACTGAAATAAACAATGCCCTTCTGATGTGTTGATTTTCCATACCCTGCTCATTCTCTAGTGTCAGAAGTTGTTGAAATTGCAGTTTTCTCTCTCCTCCCTTTCTGGCCACAGAGCTCATGAATCTTTTTGTGGTGGTACAGCAATCTCACAGAATCACAGAATGGGAAAGAATGGAAGGTCATCTGGTCCCACCTCCCTGCTCAAGCAGGGCCATCTCAGAGCACATGGCACAGGATTCTGTCTAGATGGTTCTTGGACATCTCCAAGTGAGGGAGACTCTATGACCTGTCTGGGTAATCTGTGCAGTGCTCAGTCACTGCACAGGGAAGAAACTCTTCCACATATTCAGGTGGAACCTGTTGTGCATCAGTGTCTGCCTGTTGCCTCTTGTCCTAAGCTTGGCAATCCTGGGAAGAGCCTGGCTCCTCTTGACACCCTCCCTTCAAATACTGATGTGGTCCCCACTTAGTTGCCTCTTCTCAGGGCTGAACAGGCCCAGCTCCCTCAGTCTCATGAGAGAGGTGCTCCAGCCCCTTAATTGTCTTTGTTGCTCTCTGCTGGACCCACTTCAGGAGCTCTGTGTCTCTCTTGTCCTGAGGCAAGACACAGCCCTCCAGACACACCTCACTGGGCTGGGTGGAGGGGCAGGATCCCCTCCCCGACCTGCTGGCAGTGCTGTTCCTCATGCACCCCAGGATCCCACTGGCCCTCCTGGCCCCAGGGCACTGCTGGCTCATGGACAGCTCATTGTCCACCAGGACCCCCAGGCCCTTCTCTGCAGAGCTGCTTTCCAGCAGGTCACCCCAGCCTGAGCTGGGGCCTGGGCTTGTCCTTCCCCAGTGCAGGACCCTGCATTTGCCTTTTCTGAGTTTCAGAGCATTCCTCTGCCCATCTCTCCAGCCTGTCCAGGCCCTCCTGAAGGGCTGCCCAGCCCTGGGGCTATCGGCCACTCCTGCCAGCTCTATGTTCAGTGACCTTGCTGAGGAGGCCTCTGCCCCAAGTCACTGATGAATAAGTTAAATAATCATGGGCCCAGTATTTAACCTTGGGGGGCACCACCAGTGACAGGCCTCCAACTACACCTTGGGCCACAGATCATGGTTCTTTACTTTCTTTTTCTTAATTGAGGAGGTTGTGATGTTAGGCATAGGCACAGTAGAGTGAGGCTGCAGTTCAATCTCTTCCTCAGAGTCCTAGTACTTCTCAGTCTTTTTGCTTCACCTCTCAGCTTCCCCACTAGGCCTACTCAGGATTATAGAGGATGTTTGCAATCATCTTGCAGTGTGTGGTAAATTGCTGGGTTTATGCCAGTGTTGCACAAGGTGTATTAGGAACACTTGTACCAATGTGGTGTTTTGCTCACTGCCCACAATTGCAACTTCCTGAACTCTTGTCAGTCATAATACAGCCTTGTGTTCACCCTTAAAAGCAATGTCTGCATGTAAGAGCAACTATATATTGAACATCTCACTTTCTTTCTGTCTCCTTATAACCCACATCTATACATATCTATATATCCAGATTTAAATAAAGTGAGGTATTAAGCAGAAAAAAACATAGAGACACACACAAGAGATGAACTGGCCTAATACTGTTTCTTTCAACTAGTCATAGAGGCTTGGTCTAGGGTATGCTCAGGGATGTACAATGGGAGTAGTGGGAAGAAATTCAGACCGTGTTAAATAAAACTTTTGAAAGGGGATTGGGAATACTATAGTATTATATATATTGTCCATAAATAGAAGGTTGTGCAATAGTTGTGTCATGGTAGTAGTACCTGTAGAGAATTGCATTTTTTTTCTGACAGATAGATAGATAGATTGATAGATAGTTTGGTAGGTAGATAGATAACAAAGAATGGAAGCTAAAGCAGATTTCCAAGCATTTAAACTCTCTGCTGCTATTTAATAGCACAATCAATAGTTCTGAAAAGGGAAAGACATTTGCAATGCTAATTGCAATTCACAAGTGGGGGCGTACTGAGTGGGTGGAAGAGTTAGTTGTTTGCTTGCTGAGGGACATTTCAGAGCTGCAGAAGTTCTGATACTAATAATTCTTTTTGTAAAACGATTATCTGGCTGGCTATAGCACTGGAATAATTTCTAAATCAAAGAAATCAATGAGGTTGGTACTTCTTCAGGTAGTGGCTTTGTGGCAGGTTGTTCTGGTTGTCTTAGTGCTCCCACTGAGATGGAGAGCTTCCAGCCATGGAGTTTGTGGCATCAATAGTCTTTGCTACCTCTTAGTTGTCTACAAGGCTTGTCTCTTCCTCGCAAATTTTGTCAAATATGTATTGTCTTTTCCTATGTTATCGTATCTAATTTTTTATTTCTGGAAAACAATGGATGTTTTTACCTTTGGTGTGACCTGAATCTGCCACCATTATTTAATCTTATGTAACCTCATTAGTGCTCTGCTCTGTACATGCAGATTTGTTGGCCCCAGCTGAAGCACTTGCAGAATAAAGTACACAGTGTGACAGAGGATGACAAAACTGAGCTCTTTAGTCCTCTTTCCCACATTAAGCCCAGGTGAATGTTTCCTGGACTCCACAAACAAACTCCACACCACAAAGACATATATCTGCCTGTATAAGATCACAGTGCAGAATCATTCTGGGGGAGGAAAAAAATAACAAAATTTTGATGCTAAATCTTGTTGATGTTGACCCTCCAAAGTGTCAGTGATCTCTGAGCATGTGGGAGCAAGGAATAGCAAAAGCACCCATCCCTGGCACTCTGCAGTTGGCTGCTGGCCTCACAGTGTCCTCTGGGCTTTCCAGGTACAAGCTGGGATGGAAGTGGTGTTGAGTCAACATTACCATGTGCACTCAGATGCAATTCTTAATTGGGTCTAGGTGAGAATTTCTGCTTTACATGGGATAAAATATACATGTGTGTGGCATACAGTTTTAAATATCTGAAATAAGAATCTTAAAAGATCAAATAGTAATATATATGTGGTCTTTTTGATTATTTTTCCCCTAACAGCTGATATAGGAATGGTTACTATTGGTTATTGTGCTCTAATCATTAAGAAACAGAGGTATGAAATTTCCTTTCTAAATAAATTTGGTATTAGAGCAATTTTTTATTTCCTAAAACAAATCTAAAACAAATACTTTTTTTTTTTTTTCTCCCTGGAAAAAAGTCCTGAAATCTCTAATTAACTTCTGCTGAATTCAACAAATAATTACTGGAAAAGGGAGAGCCTTGAAGAAGTAATGTATTTTCTTTTTCCATTTCAATACAGTGTTCTGAAGCTATTTTATCACACTCAACTTTACAAAACAGTAAAAATCCATAAAAGAAAAGCAATCATTAATCTCAAAGCATTTTAATTATCTCTGGCTCTTCCTTGAAAAATCTTATAACCTCTTTAGACAAACTAAAACACATATATTACCTTCATCAGTATGTGAACATGATTACTCTGAAGTTCTGAATATATGTATTACTATAATCTTAAAATGTCTGCATTCCCTTGCACCAACACTCTTACAGTCCTTGTTTGTAATATCTGGGTAAAGCTGGAAAAATGTGGCTGATTCTATTTGGGTTAGTTAGAATATGTCCAGGAGTGGCTGCTGGCCCAACCCTGCCAAGGTACCAGAAAACCTGGAGGCTGATGAAGAAGCAAGGGACAGAGACTTAGGTTCACTGTGTGATAGTGCAGAGAGGGGTAATGGTGTGAACAGTCTTCCTTTGTTTCCCTTTCAGAGGGTTTCAAGAGTCTTGCTGCTAATATTTGTTTGTGTTGCAATATCATTCAGTCTCCATTAGGAGACTAAGACCTGCTTGTTCTGGCCATGAACTGAGGGTGGCAAGAAGAGGAGCCAGGGAAAAGGGAATCACAGGGACAACCTAGCACAGGGGCAGTTCAGGATCTGTGCTCCAAATAGCCACTTGCCCTGCAGGCTCTAGGTACAGTGCCTAGATTGCACTTGTGGTTTTAAAAAATCTGATTTTCTCTTGGAAATATATGGAATGGAGGAATTCTGAAAACGCTGATCCTGCATACTGATGTGCAGGTCACAAATCTCTGGCTATGAG